CACTGTAACCCAACACTTAATTTGTGTAACATTACTCAGTGGAGCATAGAACCCTACTATTATAGCATAATCACAGAAACACTCTGAACTTTATTATTGGTAAAAAAAAAAAGTGAAGAGAACCTAGTAAAATTGTGCCAAAGTAATTTCAAATTGTTGTATACTAACATTTATGAAACTTATAGTAAGGTATGTCTTTAAACACATATATAAAATGTAGATAGCAATACTGGTATATGCAGGGGTGAGCCAGAGTAGGTTTAAAGTTTTTCATATGGAAAAGACATGCAGATTATGATTATAATACAAATATAAACTCTATGTTTTGTGATCTCACATGTAAACCTAATTTTATTGAAAAAGATGTTGCCAGGTCAACCATTATGTACCCTGAGCAGCTTATCTGAAATGGATGTAATAATTGACTGCTCTTCTGAAAAAAAAAAAAAAAAAATGGTGAGGGGAAATGACTGTTGGGTTTTTTGTGGTAAAATGTAATCCATGACATGACATTTGCCATTTTAATGATTTTTAAGTATACAGTTCAGTGGCATTAATTACATTCATATTGTTGTGCAACTATCACCATTGCCCATCTCCAGAGCTTTCTCCACAGCAAACGAAACTCTGCAGCCTTGGAACACCACTCCCCTTCCAGAAGTGCCAAGCCCTGGCGACATCTAGCCTACTTTCTGTCACTAAGAACTGGATTCTTGCACACACTTCATGTAAGTGGAATCATACAAAATGTCCCCTTTTGTGTCTGGTTTATTTCACTGAGCATAATGTCTTCAGGGTTCATCCATGTTGTATCAGAATTTCCTTTTTAGGTCTGAATAATATTCCGTTGTAGGTATACACCATATTTTGTTTCTCCATTCATTTGCTGATGGGCACTTTGATTGTTTCCACTTTTTAGCTATTGTGAATAATGCTGCTCTGAACATCGGTGTACAAATATCAGACAAAGTCCCCACTTTGAATCTTTTTGGGTAATACTCAGAAGTGGAATTGCTAGATCATATGATAATTCTGTTTATATATTTTTAAGAAATCATCATCTATTTTCTACAGTGGCTGTACCATTTTACATTCTCACCAGCAGCATACAGGGTTCTAATTTCTCCACATCAAACTATTGTGTGTTTTTTTTAAGGATAATAATATAAATTAAAATTTTATAAAATTTCTGTTCATATTTCTTTTCAATTTTTCATCCATTTTTCACTTGATTTTACCACTGAAATAAAAACCACAGGATTTCTGATGCAAGACTTAGACTGGTTAGAAACTTTAATTCCAAGAAGTCTACTGCAAAGGTAGAAACAGAGAACATTAAAAGTTATTAAAGTTAATTCACAGAATAGTTATAAGGAATGGGGTCAAAGGCAGAGTTTCCTCCCTAAAATTGTTTTTTAAAAATATATTCTTATTTATTTCAGAGAGGAAAGGAGAAGAAGAGAAAAACATAAATGATGAGAGAGGATCATTGACTGGTTGCCTCCTGCACACCCCACACTGGAGACTGAGCCGACAACCTGGGCATGTGCCCTGATAGGGAATCAAACCATGACCTCCTGGTTCATAGATCAACACTCAACTAAAATCTTAATGTCACACTACATTCCTTAGAATGTGATGACAAAATCAACTTACAACAAGAAGCTGAGAACAAAGACAAAAGCAAGTTCTGCTAACAGCAAACTGAAGGGAAATATGCACAAATGAAGAAGGAAGGAGTTTAACCTTTCAGATGGAGACAGGATTAAAGGTAATGTGCACCTCCATATTCTGTGGCTTCCTGATAAAAAGGTAATCAAGAATTTAGGATTATTTTTTCTGACACTTTCTTCAGACTGTTGTATAAAATGAATGATGATAATTTGATTTAAAATATTATAAGCATTTAAGTAAAACAAAGAAATGTTTAAGGAATTGAAATTAAGTAAAATATTCAATATTTGAAACAGGCTAGAATTAGAATCATTATTTTAGAATTAAAAATAATAATCTAACAAAAAAGTAAATGACAAGATTCATAAAACAACTTCTTTAACACAAAAAAATACAATTTCTCAGGTTCATTACAATATGCCTATTATGTCTCTGTATAAAATATTGATGAAAACATTTAAATTCTAATGTTCCTAAAGTTATTTAATACCATATTATAAAAAAGAATATTAGACATATATTTAATGACTTCATATGAAAATATATTCACCTAAAGAATAACAATAATTTCACTTTACAAAAGACATAATATAAATGTAAGGAAACAAATTGGCATTTTTATGATACATTCAAATTTGTTATGAGAAAGTAAGGTAATGTAGTTGAATTTCATCAAAATTAATTAAACTAGAATTTCAGAATTACCATCTGGATATGAAGGAATACTGTAACCATCTTTCAAAGTCATTTAAGATTATCCGTATAGTACTTTGATTAGTTTAGCTACTACATGTACGTTGAGACTATTTCCAAGTAGTCGATAACGCTGTTTCACTGTTATATTCTCAGGAAATCCTAGAAATGAGAGAGAACAATTTGTAATACAATAATTTGTAATAATAACTTCAGAGATAAAAGGATATATACTTCAGTAAAAGCACAGTGGTCATTTACATAAATAAGTCCCTAAGGTCTCTACAAAGTTCAATTAACAAATGAGAATTTAGAGATTTAGAGCTAAAAACAGTATGTAAGAGTACCTTGTGTACACAATGTGACATTGTCGTATCACATTACATAACATACTATGCACTGTGCATACACACATATACATATAACATCCACAGTACTCCTAGATATTTGTATATTAGTGTACTTTAGAAAAATCAGTGGCTACCATTGTTTCACAGTGTTTTATTTAATAATAGGTTTTTGAAGATACAATTCACATTCTATAAAAGTCACCCTTTTAAAATGTACAATTCAGTGGTTTTTAGTATAGTCACAAGTTTTGCATACATCTCCATTATAATTCTAGAGCATTTTGTTGTTGTTAACCTTCACCTGAGGATATTTTTAGGAAGAGTGGAAAGCAGGGAGGGGGAGCGAGAGAAAGATATGGTTGGGGGTAGAGAAAAACATTGATGTGAGAGAGACACATAGATTAGTTGCCTCCCACCTGAGCCTCAGCCAGGGCTGGGGGTTGAACCTGCAACCTAGGTGCATGCCCTTGACTGGAAATGAACCCTTGACCTTTCCATGCATGGGCAGATGCTCTAACCACTGAAAACACTGGCCATGGCAATTCCAGAACATTTTAATCATCTGAAAAAGAAAGCCAACCCATAGCTAACATTATACTAAATGGTGAAAAGCTGAAAATTTTCTTCTAAGATCAAGAACAAGACAAGAATGTCCATTCTCACCACTTTCAGTCTACATAGTATTGGAAGTTCTCGTCAGAACTGTTATACAAGAAAAAGAAATAAAAGGCATCCAAATTGGAAAGGAAGAAGTAACACAATCACTATTTGTAATGATGTGACATTGTATACAAAAACCCTAACTACTCAACCAAAAACGGTTAGAATAAACACATTCAGTAAAGTTGCAGATACAAAATTAAATTACAAAAATCTGTTGTGTTGCTATACACTAATAATGAACTATCAGAAGGAGAAATTAAGAAAACAACCCAATTTATACTAGTAACTGCATCAAAAAGAATATAATGCTTAGGAAGAAATTCAACCAAGGAGGTGAAAGAGCTGTATGCTAAAAACTATGACACACTGATGAAAGAAATTGAAGAAGACAGAAATAAACATAAAGATATCATGTACCCATGGATTAGAAGAACTAATATTATTAAAATGTCCATATTAATTAAAGCAATCTACAGATTCAATGCAATACCTAATATAATCCCCATGACTATTTTCACAGAAATAGAACATACAGTTCTAAAATTTATTTGGAATCACAAAAGACCCAAATAGCAAAAACAATTTTGAGAAAGAAGAACAAAGCTGGAAGCATCACACTCTCTTATTTCAAACTATATTAGAAACATAAAGTAATCAAAACAGTATGGTACTGGTATAAAAACAGAGTTATTGATCAATGGAACAGAATAGAGCACCCAGAAATAAACCCATGGATATATGGCCAATTAATTTACGACAAAGGAGGCAAGGATATAAAATGGGGAAAGGATAGTTTCTTCAATTACCAGTGTTGGAAAATTTGGATAGTCACATACAAAAGAATGAAAATAGACAATCTTACATTGTACACAAAAATTAACTCAAAATTAAGTCTTTAATCTTGAACATAGACTTGAAACCATCAAACTCCTAGAAGAAAACATAGGTGGTAAGGTCTTGTAGATGATATTTTTGTATATAACTCCAAAAGCAAAGGCAAAAATAAACAAGTAAGACTAAAACTAAAAAGCTTCTACACAGAAAAAAAAAAATCATCAACAAAACAAAAAGCCAGCTCTGGCTGGTTGTGCAGTGGTTAGACCAGCTGAGGGCAAACTACGGCCCACGGGCCGGATCCGGCCCGTTTGAAATGAATAAAACTAAAAAAAAAAAAGACCATACCCTTTTATGTAATGATGTTTACTTTGAATTTATATTAGTTCACACAAACACTCCATCCATGCTTTTGTTCCGGCCCTCCGGTCCAGTTTAAGAACCCATTGTGGCCCTCGAGTCAAAAAGTTTGCCCACCCCTGCTCTATCCTATATAGTAAAAGGGTAATATGCCTCCCAGCACTGGGATCAGCAGAGCCTCCCAGCACTCCGATGTCAGGCGGAGCCGTAAGGCCTCCCAGCACTGGAATCAGCGGAGCCGGGAGGCCTCCTGGCCCCTGAAGCAGCGTGACAGGGGGCAGCGCCCAAACCCCCTGATCACCCTGCGGCTCTGTGTGTGACAGGGAGCAGTGCCCCAACCCCCTGATCAGCCCTGCTCTGTGCATGACAGGGGGTGGCGCCCCAATTCCCTAATCGGCCTTGCTCTGAGCCCAACCAGGGGCTATGGGGCAGCCACCTAGATATTGGGC